GGAGCAACAGGCGGCAGCAGCTCCTCCTGGGCTCACCCCCTGAACCTGTCTCCAAGGCCCCCTTTTCTGTGGCTTTCCAGCGAGCAAAAGCAGCCCAGCCGGGGCTCATTTCTTCCCTGTAACATTTCTAGAGCCAGGCAGCCTCCCTTAGGTCTGTCCTGCTGCTGCTTTTATGCTAAGCCCTTCCTTGGTTCACTGGCCCAGCTTTAATAAACATCCTCCCAATCCCCTGGGCTCATGTTGTGACATCTTTCCTGCACAAGGTCAAGAACCCACATGCTACAGGCTGGCCCTGGGCAGACCTGCTCAGGACCAGGTCCTCTGTCTGGTAACACCCTGGCATCTCTACAAAGAAAAATGGAAATTTGGATCCTAACTGGTGTGGCTCAGTGGATAGTGTCGGCCTGTGGATTGAAGGGTCCCAGGTTCAATTCCGGTCAAGGGCATGTACCTTGGTTGCAGGCACATCCCCAGTAGGGAGTGTGCAGGAGGCAGCTGATCAATATTAGAGAGGAAAAGGAGAGAGAGAGAGAGAGAGAGAGAGAGAGAGAGAGAGAGAGAGAGAGAGAGAGAGAGAAAGGAAGGAAGGAAGGAAGGAAGGAAGGAAGGAAGGAAGGAAGGAAGAAAGAAAGAAAGAAAGAAAGAAAGAAAGAAAGAAATTTGGGCTGGAGGGAAGAAATGCCCCTTATCTTCATAGCCAAACGAGTTTAGGTTCTCATTTATTCAGCAAAAAGTTCTTTGGTCAGACTCTCAGAAAGCAATTCCAATTGAAAAACCAAAGTTAAAAATTAGCCACTCATTATTTTGCTCCTGTCCTGCCATAGCCTGGGTTCTACCAACCCTTAACCTTTAGTTCTATCTGGAGGGTCTTTTTTAAAATATATTTTTTATTGATTTCAGAGAAGGAGAGATAGAAACATCAATGATGAGGCTCGTTGATCGGCTGCCTCCTGCACATCCCCTACAGGGGATGGAGCCCGCAACTCAGGCATGTGCCCTTGACCGGAATTGAACCTGGGACCCTTCAGTCCACAGGCTGACACTCTATCCACTAAGCCAATCCAGCTATGGCAGGATTTATTTTTTAATACTCACCCAAGGATATGCTTACTGATTTTTGAGAGAGAGAGAGAGAGAGAGGTGGTTGCCTTCCATACCTGCTCTGACATGGGATCGAACTTGCAATCTTTGGGTGTACAGGGCAATGCTCCAACCGACTGAGCCACACCAACCAGGGCTCTATCTGGAGGATTTTTAAAAGCAGCTCACACCCAGCCAGTGTGGGTTAGTGGTTGAGCGTCAATCTATGAACTGGGAAGTCACAGTTAGATTCCCAATCAGGGCACATGCCCAATTGCCAGTTGCAGGCTTGATCCCCAATGGGGGGCATGCAGGAGGCCAATCAATGATTCTCACCATTGATGTTTCTGTCTTTCTCTCCCTCTCCCTTCCTCTCTGAAATCAATAAAAATATATATTTTTAAAAAACAGCTCAATGCCCTGGGCAGTTTGCTCAGTGGTTATAGTGTCAGCCCATGCATCAAAGGGTCATGGGTTCGATTCCTGGTCAAGGGCAGATATCTGGGTTGCAGGTGTGATCCCCAACCCCAATCAGGTATGTGTGGCAGGCAACCAATCAATGTGTCTCTCTCACATGGATGTTTCTCTCTCTCTCTCTTTTGCCCGCCTTTCACTCTCTCTAAAAATCAATGGAAAAAGATCATTGAGTGAGGATTAACATAAATAAATAAATAAATAAATTTTAAAACCGGCTCAAATAAAATCAGGGCCTCTTATCTTAAAACCAGGAGGTCCAGAATTCCAACGGAAACTCACCCAAGTTCACCCAGTGTAAAAAAGGTGCAAAACAAAGAACGGGTCAGTGGGGCACCTTGGCTCCTGCTGGTGCTAAGCATGGGTCCAGGTGTGCAGTGGTCCTGGTGGGCCTCTGTGGAATCTTGTTGTACTACACCAAGTAAATGTCAGAAGAAATGTTCAAACCTATAGATTTTGTTTTTTGTTTTTTTTTTAGTTTATTTGAGCTAAATTGATGACAATTGCCAGGAAGCAAAATCCCAACAGAGAAAATGTTCCAGAGAATGGCAGTTTTGCACCTTATTTATACACCACAAACAAAGGAGGAAGCATAAGGGTTACATGAAATTCACTGGTGATAGATTAGGGAGGCAGGACAAAGCAAAGGGGGGCAGGGGTAGCAGGGAGAGAATCTATGGGATTGAATAAAAAGTAAAAGGAATAGACACATACTTATTTTACACAGTAGGTGGGCATAGGATAGCTAACAGTTACTTAAAATGATCATAATAACAATGAGGGGATTTGTAGTCTCTGCTCTGGCCTGGTAGTTGTGCTTTGAGGGGGTCTGAAAAAAGGAAATTTCTTTGCTATTCCAAAGGCATGTTATTAGGTATGTTATTGGAGATGCAAAAAAGACAACAGACAGGCTCGGCCTAGGTACAGATGGACCTGTGTTAGGGTAAATGCCTGCCTAGGGCGTGACTGCTCACCATGAACTGCTTTTAGTC